ATGATTCATGCCAACCCCACATATGACAGAGTACCTGTGGTCCATAGGGCTTTCAGTGGCTCAAATTTTGAAAGGTCACCAGGCCTTTTTATACTGCTGCCTCTGGTGGACTCGAATCTCCAAGGTTTTGTTAGCAGCTGAGCACATTAACCATTAAGCTTTGTTTGGAAATATCAGCCAGGACTGCCAGGTTGCACAATTCCAGGAACACCGTGCATATTGTGATTTGTACGAAGCACATCCCTTGGAGCACATTTCTGTTTACATGGATTAGAATGTGAATGGTGTCCCCTTTAGTTCTGCAACCAGCTGGCAATGCATCAACCTCTTGGATATTAACGGTTTTAATTCTGTTAATTATTTGTATATTTATTTATTTTGTAGAATCCTAAAATCAACCTTCCTGTTCACCTTCACCTGATGCTAAGTTAAAGGACTTTCTTTTCTTCAAAGTTTTCATAGTAATAAGTGGACTACTAACATATCTCTTATCTCACCATGTTGCAAAATCTGGTTTATTATCTGTTTCCTATACTAGTTCTAAGTTCTATGAGGGTTGCTCTGGGTTTCCTATATCCCAATGGCTAAAGCACAGTGTCTGGCACAAGGGAGTGTTCAGTAAATGTTTCATGAGGTAAAAGTAAATTATTTTCCATGAGATACACCCAATTGCCTGACATTTTTTCTTTCTAATTTTAATGTGTTGTCAGTTAAGTTCACAGAGAGTGCACTGTGCTCCTATTTATTAAATTAAATGTCTGCTTGAAGTAGCATATTACAAATTAAGCTTAGTTAAATCTCAATTTTCTGTGATCATTATATAAGTTTCTCATTGCTGCATCTCATATTAGCTTGGTTCAGTAGTTAGATAGCAATTAACATGAATGCTTAATGACCACTTTCTTATTTTGATATATTACTAATGATACTTAGAGTTTAAAGTGTTTTAGGTTGAATTATAAATGCTAATAGTTTGTCTACCCTTCTTACTGATAGTACATTCTTACACCTGAGAATATTATGAGTGCTCTAAACTTGTATAGGGAGAAGGCTGATCTGCAAAGGCTCAGTAATCAACATTATTGACACTTCAGTTCTTATAAACCAATTAAGCCATTTCTAGAACATTGCCTTTAACATCCAACTCAAAGCTAAAACCACTGCTGTCAAAGTCATCCTTCAAGCCTGGAACTGAACTTACTGCCATGGCTCAACTTTGAGCCAAGCAATAGACAAGCCTATAAGGTGAACAATAACACTAGAGGGATACACACTCTTTAGAATAATCAACCACATGAGAGCAAAAGAGCATGTTGTTGTTAGGTGTCATGAAGTCAGCTCCAACTCAGAGTGACCCTATGCACAACAGAATGAAACACTGCCCAGTAATGCACGATCCTCATGATCCTTGCTAAACTTGAGTCCATCATTGCAGCCACTGTGTCAATCCATCTTGCTGAGGGTCTTACCCTTTTTTGCTGACCCTCTACCAAGCATGATATTCTTCTCCACATAATGGCCCCTTCTGACAACATGACCAAAATAGGTGAGATGAAGTCTGGCCTTTCTCACTTCCAAAGAATATTCCAGATGCACTTATTCCAGGACAGATTTGTTCTTTCTTCTGAAAGTCCATGGTATTTTCAATATTCTTTGCCAACACCACAACTCAAAAGCATCAACTCTTCTTTGGTCTTCCTTATTCATTGTCCAGTTTTCACATGCATATAAGATGATTGAAAATACCATGGCTTGGGTTTGGCACACCTTAGTCTTCAAAGTGACATCTTTGCTCTTCAACACTTTATTTAAAGAAGCCTTTTGCAGCAGATTTGCTCAATGCATACAACATCTGATTTCTTGGCTGCTTCTTCCATGGGTGTTGATTGTGGATCCAAGCAAAATGAAATCCTTGACAACTTCATCTTTTCTTCATTTACTGTGATGCTCCTTCTTGGTTCAGTTGTGAGAAATTCTATTTTCTTTATGTTGAGGTGCAATCCATATTGCAGACTGTAATCTTTAATAGTCATCTGTAAGTGCTTCAAATCATCTTTAGTTTCAGCAAGTATCTACATATCGTTGACATATTGTGTCATCTACATATCACTGGTTGTTAATGATTCTTCCTCCAATCTTGATGCAACATTCTTCTTCATATAGTCCAGCATATTGGATTACTGACTCAGCATACAGATTGAATAGGTATGGTGAAAGGATACAACCCCGACACACACCCTTCTTGATTTTAAACCATACAGTATCACCTTGTTCTGTTTAAAAGACAGCCTCCTGGTGTATGTAAAGGTTCCTCATAAGCACAATTAAGTGTTCTGGAATTCCCATTCTTTGCAATGTTGTCCATAATTTGTTATGATACACACAGTCAAATGCTTTTGCATAGTCAATAAATACTATAGTGTGAATATATAAATATGGTAATGCAACCATCATGGATTTTAAGAAATATTACATACTCATTATGACTATAATGAAAAGCTGTATAGGCAGATTTCTGTATATCATTTCACAAATTAATTAAGTTAAATGATAAGCTCTCTAGTCTACACCCAAATAATATTTATTTTAACTTGTTGAATTATTTACCCTAACTAATCATCCCAGAAATAAGATAATAACTGTCACACATAATGGCCAACTAGAACAAAGTTGACATTTTATTATATTGCTCTAGCAGGTATAGCCAAAACATTATCAACTTGTGTCATGATGAGTTGTTGATAAACCAAACCAAACTCACTGCCGTCAAATCAGATCTGACTCATAGCTGACTCTTCCTTGGGTTTCTGAAGTGGTGTCACTATGGAAGTAGATTGCCCAACCTTCCTTCTGAGGAGTGACTGGTTGGTTTGAACCGCCAGCCTTCTGGTTAGCAGTCAAATCAAAAAGATGATTTGCATGAGTCACCGTGAGGTTGAGCAAATAAGTTTCCAAGTACAAAAGTTAGAGAGGCAATAAGATCCTAATGGTTCACATGCTGAAATTCTTTAGTGAACAAAAATCAAAAGTAAAAGTGATCACCACCATATGACTCGTGCATGCTTTCTTTAGTACTTACAATATAGTATTTGTTAGTTGTCTTATGTATAACAGAACAAAATGTTGTCCAGTTGTGTACCATATTTTGAGTTATTTGTTAATCAACAAATAAATATTTGTTGATTAATCTTGACTGAATAAGGAGGTACCTAACTATCACCATTGCCATAACAACAAAAGGTTAAAGCAAGTGAAATTAAGCTATCTTATTAAATTTCAGAAACTCATTTATAAATAAAAACTTAGCTGCCTTTTCAACCATATCCAAGATTGGATGCTAATGATATGATATTGTAAAGATACACTTAATTATACTTTTTATTCATGCATGACATAAATATTTTATTATCAGGAGTGAAGTAATATTAATTATAGAGTTAAAATTTAAATTAAGTAAATGGCAAATGACTCATAAGTAGTACATTTGTTTATATTTAATTAAACTGTTTTGGTCATTCGGTATTTCACACCTTGCCTTTGAATAAAGACACTCATTTTCATTTACTCTTAGCAAACTTTAAGAAATGTAATTAAGAGCTGATGAATACCCAAGATACATTGTACAGGGAATGTGGAAATATTTATTTTCTTTGCAGTGCAAATTAGTTGGCTATGTAGATTTGATATTACATAGATAAGAATTTTCTGTGGTATCTCAAGCAATGTGTTTGCAAGGGCAACCACTAATAATTGGATATTCAGTCACACAATTGTTTTCAAGCACCCTTCACCACTTCTCTGTACCTGAAATATATGAGTCATTCATATTAGATGATTGGTTTTATTAAGAAATTTATCCCATTATTTTAGACTTAATTTTTACAAAGTTTTTTTTTTCTATCACTTCTCTATTTACAATATTCATATCCATTTAACTTGAGTATTTTGTCATTTACCGCAATAACTCATCAATCCGTTAGAACAGCCTTTCTTTATGTTACCTTTCTTAGTGCTATGAATTGTGCTATTTTCAATCCCTGAAATGTTATAAACCGCCAGATTGCTAATTGCTTTGGATGCTCTGGAAAATAATTACTCCACATTATTTTTGATATTTAATTGACAGTGTGATGCATTTAACTAAAGACCTGCAATAAACTATTTCTAATTACTGAAGGTGGTGGAGTGGGAAAGTAGGCTGTAAAATTTTACAAGGGAAACAATGTTTTCTCCATTACATTAAAAGTCATTATCTATATAACTTTTCAGGCACACACACACACACACACAAAAGGTCCTAAATTGGAAGTTATGAAAAAGCTGGGGAGTGTTGTGACATAGTTCTACACATGAAATATTAAGGCTTTTATTATTATTATCTTTGTTTCTGAACAAATTATATTTGCAACAGATGTCACATGTCACATATCAGATTTATTGTATTTGCACTAAAACCTTTCCTTCTTCAACTGGCAGAAATATATGAGGGAGATAATCATGCTGCTACCAGAATGAGTAATCCTTCTCACTGGCCTGTATTCAGTTTGCTATGCATTTATAGGACATTTAGCTGAAAAGCTATGCCAAATTATAGATATCATTGCAGTATGTGGATATATCAAGAACTGGATCTGTTTTTAGCTCCCAGGGTAAAAACTTCATGTTACTAACTAATCCCAGAAAATAAGTCAACTTGACATTAAACCCTAAAAGTAGCCTAAAACTTGGTACAAGGACTTCTCATTGTCTATAAGTGACATAAATAAGTACATAAAAGATAGCAGGCCTTTGAAAAGATAAATACTGTTTCCATTTACTAGTGGCTCTAGGATATTATTAATAATAAGTATTCTTCTTTCTTCCCCATGACCCCTGGTTAAATTATCTTCATTGATGATTCACTAAAATATTGGTTTAATTTCAGTTATATGTATTTTCCTGAAGAGACAACTAAAATAATTGACTTATTTCAGGGAATGTAAATTATTTTCAGTATTTCAGAAATTGAAAAGGGATAAGAGGAAGGAGAAAATGCTGGGCTGGTGTGAAGCGATAGCCCGTAACCCTCACAGAATCCCAAACAACACGAGAACACCTGAGATTTCAGGGGATTTGGCTGATGCCCCACAAGCCTCCACGTTGGTGAGTGAAAGTTATTTTTTCTCAAAATGCCTTCTATGTAAATGGATACTAAGGGAAAAGGGTAAAGGGATCACTTCCTAAGTTAACATTGTTCTTGTTTATAATAACATTTGAATTTGTATTATAGTTTTCATACAGATTCAGTTTAATGAATGGCATAAGTGAAACACTAAAATATCTTAATTTCATATAATGTGAGAGTTTGGTTCAAATTAAACAACTATCCCATTTATCCATTACTTTGGGACATCATCCTCTCATTAGTTTAGGACTTTAAAGAAGTCTTTAAATAAGTCCATATTCTTGGACTGTATTCTTGTGTAATGTAATCAGTGGAGGAAAACAAATCAGAATCATGCCTTCTTCATTTTCCTAAAGCTAAGAAAAATTACTTAAAATTTATAATTTTCATATCAAATTGTGAATCAAATGATTGAAAAAGTATTTTGAAAAACAAATAAATAATATATTCTGTTATGTTTTGTTTTCTACTGTAAATTTAAATGTTTGGCTTAGCTAGTCATTATTTTTCAGTGTTTAGGAAAAGAGAACTCATTAGAAAAAGGAGTTTTAAATTTTGATTAGATTTTTGCAGCAACATACTTCACTTTGATTTAAAGAAGGAAAAGTCCATTCAACTTATTGAGTTTTAAATTGATACATTAGATATTTTTAATTATTGTTGTACTATTTCATAAGAGCACAAAAATTTTTCTTAACTCCTTTTTAAAATTTTGTTTTGGATGAAAACTTAAAGAGCAATTTTGTTTTCCACACAACAGTTCATACACATTTTGTTTCATGACATGATTGCAATCCGGTTATGTAACAGCTTTCTTCCCTCTTCCTCCCTGTGGTGCGTGCATCTTTCTTTCCCTGTGTCCATCTTTCCTGTATATTCCTGCTCTGTGAGCTATCTCCCTGTGCAGATACTACCCTTCTAGACTCCCATGGTTGATTGTTCTAAAGAATGTAACTACCTGTTGTAAATATTCACCTTACACACTATCTATTGTTTGGCTGGAAGCTATGGGAATGAGTTCACTTCCAGGCCAAAGGGTAACTGAGCCCTATAGTCTCAGGGGTTTCACCAATTTCTATCATATCAGTAATGCTGATCTTTTTTAAGGTCTTGAATTTTGTTCCACTTTTCCTCCCATTCTATCCAGGATCTCCTACACTAATCCTTTTCCAAGTGGTTGACAGTGGTAGCTGGGCACCAACTAGTTTTTCTGCTCTCAGGGTCATGTAGGCTGAAATTTGAATGGTCTATTAGTCCATTGAACTAATTATTTCCAAGTGTCTTTGGTTTTCTTCATTCTTCTTTGGTCCAAATGAGGAAAGGCCAATCATTGCATCTTAGGTGCCCACTCAGAATCTTTTAAGACCCCAGTCTCTACTCACCAAAGTAGAATATAGAACAATGTTTTTGGCTAGTATGTTATGCCAGTTGAGCTTGATGTCCCCAGTGACCAAGGCCTTGAGCCCACATGGCCAACAATTTGCTCCCTCAGGGAGGTTGGCTGTAGCTAAGAAGTTATAATAACTTTGCTCCCTATTAGCTCTATTATGTAGATGAACATTCTTTTGAATTCCTTATCAGGGAGTTCCAATACTGCTTCTTCCTCAGGGATGTTTTCTGAGTTTGTATCCTGCTCCCTTGTTTCTATTACTTTATCTTGCTTCTTTGTGTGGACCGTGATGGTCTGTTGTCTCCAAGACATTGTGGTGTTTTTATATTTATGTTTAATTTGTGGTTGTATGTTGGGGTGTGTTTTGGTGACCTATTGCTGCTGTGACAAGAATATGCCACAAAAGGGATGGCTTTAACAAGTTATTCCATTACTCTTTTACAGTTTTGGAGAGTAGAAGTCCAAGTTCAAAGTGCTGGGCTCTAGGGGCTGGGTGGAAGCCCCTCAAACTTGGCTTCAGCTCTGCCTCTTGTTCCTGGCCCACTAAAGCTGGAGGCTTTTCTTCACTCAGGCAGCTGCTGGCTGCTGAGGCTGACAAGCCCAAGGTTGAGAAGTGAAAAGACACAGTCTCGATATTACAAAGCACACAGTAGGCCATTAATTTAATTCCATTGAAAGTCCCAAGATTGGCAGAGCATGAAAGGCTACTGAATGAAGATTTAGCTATATGCAGGGTTCAAGGGTGTCAAAAGCTAGAGACCTTTCTCAAGCCTTCTCCTTATATACAGGAAGCAGACCACATTCCTAACACAGCTACTCAGCTGTTTACATTAGATTCCATCATGTAGTTGATTACCAGTCTTATCTTGGGGAATACCATATCCAGCTGCCCAACTACTCAACCAGCCCTAGCCAAGGCACAAACCTTGACTACCATGGTGTGATTTCCCCAAGATTTTTTCCCCTTTATTTTGTTTTGACATATCTGTGTGATCAGAATACTGTGTTCCTCCATTTATTAGTTGTTAGTACTGAAGAACTCACCACTGGTCTTATGGTGGGTGTAATAGAGAATGAGAATGTGTGTTCAGTTCTCTATCAGCTGTTCATAAGGAGCAGTTAAGGATGAGTTGAACTGGTATTGGCCACTGTCTATTGTTGGTTAGTTGGTGCAAGAGCAAGTGGTGTCCCTCAGTCAGTGGGGTTGCAGGAGGAGCAGGTATGGCTGGTTTATGTTGGAAAAGTTCCTGTCTTCCACTCAGTTACACACACACACACACACACACA